GGAAACAACTTGTAGCTGACAAGACATTCCAGGGTGGATATGGTACTGTTTCAGGGTTCAGAGTGGTGAGACTTGTGATTGGAGGGCCTTTGGATTTGTTATGAGCAATGGGAAGGATTTAGGTGTCCGGGGAGCTACAAAAGCCATTGAGGGAATTAAAGCAGGGAGTGGACATGATCCAATTTGAATTTTGAAAAGACCTGTTTGATTTCAGTGTGGAAAATACATCTAAGGAATCTCATAAAGGATCAGTACAAACCAGTCAGATAGTTGGGTGGTCTAGTCAGAGGTGATAGAAGGTTGGTATGGTGGATATCATAGAGATGGCAAGATCTGGAGGAATTAGGAAGAGTCTTAAGAAACAAAATGAATAGGATTTAGTGAAGAATTCTATGTACAAGTAATGAGAAGAATCTTGATTGATGTCTCCTGGATTGCAGGCTTCCATATTTGAATTGATGGTGGTCTCATTCTCTAAGACAGAGAAAGCAATTGAAAAACACCTGCTTTGGAGAAATGAAAGGCCATGGGCAGGTTGTCCTAAAGTACATTGAGGAGCGCTAAGAAAGGAGGTCAAGGTAGAGGTCAAGATCTAGTTTTATAGTGGAGTTCTGGTTTGCCTAGACATTCATGAACTAGTGAATCTATGGATATAGGTAAAACATTAAAGTGAGGAAAGGAGAGGATTTAGGATTGGCAGAGAACTCTAATATGTACTCACTAAACAAAGAATGTCTAGCCACAAATGAAATAGAAGTATATACAGAAAAACAAGTGAATGTGGGCTAGGACTGTTTTGATGGACTAGCAGCAGGCCAGAAGGCAGAGAGGAGTGTGTATGCAAATGAGCTGAACTGCTCTCAGCCAGTGAGAACAGATAACTTCTCTGGAAAACTGGTCCTATGAAGAGTTGGAGACAGACATGGACCCAGGGGGGCATGTATGTTAGAGGTCCTCAGTGAATGTGGTATATTGAAGGTACTGTTGAGGAGGTTCTTAAATGTTTGATAGGCAAAGGGATGCAGAAAAAGTATTATGAGTAAAAAGTAACCATCATCAGTAAACTCATTTTAGGGATTGTTGAAGAAACTGACCTAAGTGTAATAGTGTAGACTTTAGGAGTAAGGTGCAAAGTGGCTTAGTAGGAGGGGTGCTCCATAAGTCTGGGAAAGGGTTTGAGATCATCATGATGATGCATTTGAGTTCCTGAGCTGAGTGAGGGTGGAGGGGGTTTCAAGAGGACAAACTGGCATTGTTTTGAACATGAACTGAAAATCAGGATGAATTAAGTAATGCAGGATACAGCTACATAACTGTATGACTTGCCACGGCTGCCTGTCGTCAAGTTTAAAGCCTATGGATTAGAGAAGGTAAACAAGCCTGGGATAAGAGAGGAAAGAAAATCACTTTTGATTATTGTAATTGATGTTGTATATAAATGAAAACACCATGCACTGTAGAGGAATTAATGCTTCCTGACATACCTTTGCAAGAATCAGCTAATCATCATGAAAACTATGTTCCCCAGGGAGTTACTGTTTCCATTATCATAGAAGCTTAGCTCAAATGCCATTGTTTTTCTATCATGTATCAGAGGGAAATGACTATCTATTATCCTCCTGTGTTTTCTAAGCTTATGTGCAGTAAAATGCTCTTGTGTGCCGTACGATGAGTTTTGACAAATGTGTACAACTGTACACCCTATGTCTAGAGAGCAATTCCATATCCCAGAAAGTCATTTTTGCCTCTCTCTTGTCACCCCGCACCCCATTCCCTTCAGAAATCATTGTCCTGGGTAATTAGCATGTTTATCCGCTTAAGCTTTTATCAGATACATAATGAAAAGGAAACTATTGCCCATTCCCTATCACCACAATTCTGTTGCCCGTGTTTAGATTTTATAATGATAAAATCACACAGTATGCAAACTTTAGTTTCTGGCTTCTTTCTGCCACCATATTTTTGAGGAAATCCACATTGTGCGATGTATTGGGAGTTTGTTCCATTTTAGAGTTAAGTAATATTCCTTGTATGAATTTGACATCACCTAAAATCCATTCTCTTGCTGGACGTTTGCATTATTTCCGATGTTTGGCCATAATGAATAAATCTGATGTGAACAGTTTTTATGAGTCTTTCTGTCATGAATGTTTTAATTACTTGGGTAAGTAGGGTAGACTTTTTGGGTCACAGATGAATTAAATTTAACCTTAAAAGAAGCTGTACTCCTAAGTGATCATACCACTTTATAGTCTCACTAGCATTTTACAAAGAGGTCCAGTAGTCCCAGAGTTTCATCAAGGTTTCAGTCTTAGCCTTTGTAACTACCCTGATGGATGAGTTGTGGGATAATCTTATGCATTTAGTTTGTGCTTCCCTCATGTCTGGTGAATGTAAACATGTTGTGCTTATTGGCTATGGTGTATCTTGAAATGTCTATTCCAATAGTGTGTCCAGTTTTCATAACTGGATTGTTTAATCCTGTGTAGGAATTCTGCATATATACTGGATTGGAGTTCAGATATTTGTATTATGAATATTTTCTTTGAGGCCACAGGTTTCCATGCTATTTTTTGATGTCCTTGAATGAGTAATTTTCATTTTGATCATGAACAGTTTATCAACACATTCTTTTTTGGTGATTGCTATGAGTTTTATATAATAAACTTTTGTCTCCCTCAAGATTGCTAAGTTTCTTCATATGTTTTCTTCTAAATGTTTTATAGTTTTCATTTTTGTGCTTATATATATGGCCTTTGACTCCTTAGTCTTATATATTTCTGTTTAGGCTCCACCACCCCATAGACTTTTCCTCTGGAAGTTTCAGGGGATGGACCCTTAAACAAGTGGCTCACTTAACATACATCTCTGTTTCCTGGAGGATTTATCTTCTTTCAGTTTCTGCCTATTTTTGGTTGCCTCTTGCCTTCAAAAGGCATTTTCTCAGACATTTTCATGTGCTTGATTTAGTATCAGTTCTGGAAGTTACTATTTAGTATCTGGAATATTTTGATTGCTACATATTTGTGTTTCTTAACATATAAATTTGATAGGAGCAGAGTATATTCCATTGACTTCTCTTACAGTGTCAGACTCAGAGCCATATCTTTGTATAGTAACCTTCTCTCAGCAAATGTTCAGTTGTATTGTTTTTAGTTTTTATTGAGCTTTAGTACTTTCATACAATAGTTCTTAATCAAATTTAAACTCTCTCACCCATCCATGTTCCCCCCTCACTGGATCTCATGTATCCCACCGTACATGTTAAATTCTATCCAGTCAAGTATTTGTATCCAGATGTCCTTTGGTGAAAATTCATCCACTGGAGTCTAGTCATCTTATCTAGAGATCATTGGTATGGCCTACTCTCCTTTACCAAGCAGTAATCAGTCTCCAATAGTTATCAGACTAGAGCTGACCTATTACCCATTTCCCTCAATCCAGTCTAGGCCCTGGTCTGATTGAGTTGGCATGGGTCCTGTGATCAGTGTCACCAGTGCCACAAGTTCACATGTGCAAGCTTCCAGTGGCCTGAAAGCCTCTGCTCCCTATGTTCATGGACCAACCCTGGCTCTTACAATCTTTCCACCCTTTCTTCTGCAATGGTCCCTGAGCTGTGGGTGAGAGGTTTGATACAGGAGACCTATCCAGGGACACATACTATACAGTCTCTTATTCACTAAAATTTGGCAAGTTGTGGCCTTTTGTGTGCATTGCACTCTGTTGCATAAGGAAGCTTCCTACTGCAGAATCCCACAACTGGTCAGACACAGAGAATATGCATCCGAGAGGTGCCCAGTTCTAGGTGACATATCTACAGTGTAACCTCTACACCCAAGGCTCATGGAACATAGCAGAATGGGGGGTAAAGAGAGAACTAGTGCATCCCTTAACTCTCACCAGTGAAGCTTCCTTATACAACAATGTTGTTTTTATGAGAACTAACTTTGAGTCAGGATTTAAAGTCTTCTACTCATAAGTTAACTTCTATTTTTAGATTCTACCCTGAAGATGAATCCAAAGGAGATTATATTAGATATTCTGGAGTACAGCAATTCCTTTTAATTTCTTTCTTTACTCTTTAAAATATTTATTTACAATACCTTTTATATGTTAATATAATTTTAATTCATTTTCACTTTATTATCATCAGATCTCTGACTTTGCCAAAGCTTCAGCCTAAAACTGTTGTACTTTTCAATCAAGGTTGATACAAAAATATATTATTTTTGTAACAATTTTATGCCTAAAGCTTTTCTATATAAAATAGAGCAGAGATATCTCTTATATAGAATAATTATGTTTGCAAAGTTCTATGTTCTATGTGGTGGAAAATGAAATGATATCTTTGAATAATTTCAAATTTAAAGAAGACATGTTAATGCAATTTTAAAAAAATCTTTAAAAGGCATTTTATTTTACTTATTAGTTTTTTTAAAAACAGATGGTTTTACTTTCCCCTATTTTTAAAAAAGTTTGAAAAATTATTTTATTTTTTATGCTTTGAAGAATTATTATTTTTTTAATCAATCAATTTAATGAGCAAAGAATTTGTCCCAACACATCAAAATTGTATTAATAGAATTTTTGGAGGGACTTATTCAATTTGCCTCTATTACAACTTCAACATTCTCAATTTGTGAAAAAGTTTACTATACCTGCCTTGAAAATTAGCCCATGTTTATGTATAATTATTACAGTCATTATTATCACTTAATGATAACCATATGCTATTTTCATAACATACTTGAATGCAAAGGGGCATGACACGTTGTTTTAATGGGATTTTGGTATGTATAAAAAGTTGTAGTCCTTGCAGACACCATTGGTCATCAAGCTAAGCTTGATGACAATCTGTGACACTTTCATGAATAGGTCGTACTGTAATATACAATCATTGCTTTTGTTTATGTTTTGAAACTGCCTTTTGGTCACTTGAAAGAGATATAGTGAGATACAGTGTTAAAAAGCTAAATGATTTCCTTTTTCTTTTTCTTCAGAATCGAGTTTCTTACTGGGAAATGCACAGATCGTGGACTGGCCTGTAGTTTATAGTAATGACGGTTTTTGTAAACTCTCTGGGTATCACCGAGCAGACGTCATGCAGAAAAGCAGCACTTGCAGGTAGGTGATGGAGCAACTTTGCATTATTTTCCAAATTTGAACAGAATTCTAACAGTGACTAAAATGTTTGTATTTATTTAGACTCACATATAAAGCCTATTGGGTAAAATTATGTTAGAAAAATAAGACTAAATTGTGAATGTGATATGTATTTTAAGAGCCATTTTGATAGTATTTTCAAAGGAAAATATTTTGCCTATATGCGAATTAGTTCTTTCAATAAAAATATTTTAATCACCTGCTATGATCCAGGAGATAGCACAGGTACAGGAGCATTTGATATCCAGGAGCCACTGGTGGTGTCAACACTTCTGGACCAATTAAAACTGTCATTAAGAAAATACAAAATGTCACTGAAGTCAAGTAGAAAATGATTCACAAGCAGTAAAAGAACATGAAAATGAAGTTCTCATACCCTGAGCCAGTAACATGTCTATAGTGTTGTCATAATTACCCTTGCTATTTTGTTTGTTGTATGTAAAACAGAATCTGACATTTATATCACTTATGATAACTTTAAAAAATAGGCCATTTCTACAAATTTAAAAAGAATTATGATAAAAGAGGATCAGAAAAAAGAGAAAGTATATGTGAGGAACAAATTTAGAATCTAAAACTTTTTCATAAAATTTCAGTAAGGCCAGATGGGGATCTTTTCCCCTTGTTTTAATTTTTTCTTTAAGCTTCTCACTTAACTAAGTGTTGAAGTTAAATTATTTTAGGATCTGGACTTTTCTTTCTAGTTCAAGTTCTGGGCAAACTTGTGCTGTGCTGTGTTAAGGAATTTTCTCAGAGAAGCAGAGAGATTTCTGGTTTTTTTTTGTTCCCTACCCACTTATGCTGAGAGGCGTGTGTGTGTGTAAATGGTATATGATCCGCAACTTCATGAAGTCTAAACATGACTACTCACAGAATAACTTAACTTCTGCAAAACATAGATTTGAATACCTCTTAAATCTATTGAATCAGAGTCAGCCAAAGGAGGTATATAGGACCCGTAGCTTAGATGATTTTGAGGCTTATCGATGTTTGAGAAACAGCCTGGGCCCACGTGCTCTTCCTTCCCTTCTCCACTGCCTGCCACCTGCATTTTTCTGTGTGCTCAGGTCATTCCTACATTCACTCTTCACTCTCAAGGATGAAACATAAACAAGGATGATGAAAACTGTGGCCTGTGTCTGCAAAACCCCTTTGATAGTAGTGAATCTTTTCACCTTTTTAACCGTCAGGTGGATATTCATTTTTTATTCTAGCAATACTCTAGAAGGCTAAGGATGTGTTCTGTGTTCTGGAAGATAGCAGATCTGTCTCATTTGCTTCCCTGGATCCCTAGTAGGGTTTAAGTTAGGAAAAGGTGAATTTTATGATCGACCTTGTCCTGTGGGACAGGTGTTGTTAAGAGCCCAAGGGAACACATCTGCTCTCGATCATCCCCTTCTTGGATGGTTGCTATCTCATTTTTGTTCCAGATGCCATTTTCCACCCAAAGATAGTTATGATTCCCTCAGCAAGATGTGCTTCTCCCTTCTTTGACTAAGAATAGTTTCTTGTATATATTTCTGTTTGCAATATCATTTTGGCCTTAAATTAACTTGCCATATCCTTGTTCTTTTATTTTGCCTGTTGTACATGGGGTGTGCATGTGTGTATTTGTGTCTCTCATGAGTGTGGAGATCAAAGGACCACTTGTGAGAGTTAGTTCTTTCCTTTCACTATGCGGGTTCTAGGAATTGAGTTCAGGGTGTGAGGCTTGGTGGTAAGTAAACGCCTTTCCCTGCTGAGCCATCTCACCTGTGCGTGCTTACTTTCGAATGCATTTACAGACACAAAATTGGGTTGTTATGTCTTTATTTTGAATTGCATTGTCTTATTTGCAATGAACCCTAACTAGTCTTGGGAGCTTCTGCAAAGCATGCTTTTATTTATGGAGTTTCATCCTAATTGTTAGAGTATTTCAGAGAATTTTGGATTATTTGGACTTTTCCACTATGCAGCATGCAGGTCCGGCCCCAAATCTTCTTCACCTGTCAGAGACAACCTTTCAAAACAGACATGCTCTGAACATAAGCAGTCTTCAAACCTGCAGAAAAAGTGTATTCTGCTCATCTAAAAACTGCTGCCGGCTTAAGGCCCACATAGAGCAATGAAGTCCAGCATCTCACAAAAGAGCAGCTCATATCCGAGTCCTGATGGGCTTTCTTGGAGGCCTGGTAAATGTGCTCCCATTGAAAGCATTCTCATCCTCCTTTTAAAAATAAACCATACTCATTTTGTGTTGACTGCACCAGTATTAAGAAGAATGAAGACTTAGAAATAATCAAAATGTCTGGTTGTAGATTTGTTTAAACATATAGTGAAGTCCTAACTTTCTAAATCACATATGTTGAAAGTCTAACAACAGTGGATTAAACAACCAACAAACCAACAAACATTTTTAGAGACAAAAAATCCAGAAAAGCACCAAAGCAATTTATTAAACAGTGTCTGAGTCATGAGTCTATTTTTTTTTTTAAATTCAGCTTTCATTCTCTATTTTTTGAATAAACTTATAAAACCTGTTGGCCTTGAGATGCGAGGAAACAGAAGAAAGGAGGGAGGAAATTACATGCAGATTTAGAACCATGGTTAATAGTTAAATGCTATTATACTATAATCAGTGATTTTGGAACCATTGAATTCCAGTTGAATATGGTGATAAATCACTTGGTACAGGAAATAACTTTGTAAATAACTTTTTTAAAATTACTGATTTTAGTGACAAATTTTAGCCAAATGTAAGAGAATTAAGAGACTACAAATTAGTATCAGAGAAAAGGAATTATATATATAAAATGGATAAAATAAAGAACTTGTATTACTTGAATTAAAGAAATAAGATTAGGGTGACAACTAGGTAAATAGTTGCATGTCATTTTATTTGTTTGTTCTCTGAGACAGTGTCTCACCATGTAGTCCCAGCTGGCCTGGAATGCACTATGTAGACCATCCCAGGCTGGCCTTGATCTCACAGAGACCCACTTGCTGTTCTTCCCTAGTGCTTGGATTAAAGGCATGTGCCACCACACCTGGACTCTGTATGTCATATTTTAAAAATATTCAAATGTGAATTGTTTTATAGGAAAGATACTAAATTACATTTTTGCAGTATCAAGAGGCTGAGATTTATTTCTTCTGCTTCTTTAATCTTTTTTCATTATTCTGATCAATCTCCCACTGAACAGAATCAAATTAAACACACTCCATAGCTTGTTAAAATATTGCCATTCCCCTCCCCTCCCCTC